CGACCCGATATGCAGCGCCAAAAAAAAAAAGGGGAACAACGACCGGTATACAAAGCGGTCACACAAAACGACGTAGCTACGTGTGCAGGCACACAAAACGACGTGGCTGCGTGTGCGTGTGTGTGTGTGTGTGTGAGTGTCACTATGACTGGGTGCGTTGCGTGGGTGCTCTGCCTGCTGCGCCTGCCTCCGCCGGCCCGATGTTTTTTGCCCTAAACAGTAGCGATCGACGAAAAAAGAAAAGACAAAAGTGGGAGCGTGGAGCGGGAAAGCGACGGGCACGCGACCAAAAAAGAAAAAAGAAAAGAAAGCAGGGAGCGAAAAAAGGCGTGCGAGTGTCATTGTGACTGGGTGCGTTGCGTGGGTGCTCTGCCTGCTGCGGCTGCCTCCGCCGCCCCGATGCTTTTTGCCATAAATGGTAGCGACCGACGAAAAAAGAAAAGAGAAAAGTGGGAGCGGGGAGCGGGAAGCGGGAAAGCGACAGGCACGCGACGAAAAAGAAAAAAGAAAAGAAATCGGGGAGCGAAAAAAGAGCGGGAAAGCGACAAAAACAGGGGGAATGACGGCACGCTACAGCGGCCAAAACAAAAAAAAAAAGGGAACGACAGTCGGCCCGATATGCAGCACCAAAAAAGAAAGGGGAACAACGGCCGTGACACAAAGCGGGCACACAAAATGACGGCCGACTAGATATGCAGTGCCGAAAAAGAGAAATAAAAAAGCGGACACACAACGACGACCGGCCCGATATCCAGTGCCCAAAAAAGAGAAACAAAAAGAAAGAAAGAAAGAAAAGAAAAAAGGAGAAACAAAAGGAAAGAAAAAAAAAGGGGCACAAAACGACGGTCGGCCCAACACTCACATATCGGAGGGCTCTCCTCCGAGATGTACATCCGCATCGACGCTCGCCGTCTGCCCCGCCCCGGGAGCGCGCTCTCACGCTTAATGACGCGCTCTGAACAATTTGGCACAAGCGCCGCTTTGCACGCCCCCCTGCCATGGATCGCCTTTATCTGACGCGCAGCGGCGCAGCGGACCGTCGACCTTCCCCCGCGGCCAATGCTCCCCCCTTGGTTGGAGTGGCTCGGGCGGTATAGGTGCTTGGAGTGGCTCGATCGATATAGGTGCTTGGAGTGGCTCGGTGGGTAGGTGCTTGGAG